CAGCAGCAGCAGTATTTAATTATTCACTTTGGCATCAATGTTAATTGAATTTCGTTTTCGTTTTACTAATTAAAAATACATGAATTTTGTCTGAAACGTTGTTAAAAAAAATCATGTCACAAAACACTGGAAACACCATATTGTGTTCATATAATCAAAATATTGCTGTCATTGTAACTGTGTTTTTAGTAGTTAGTGTACAGCCAATGTTTAGTAAATTGAATTAAACCCATTCACATTCGTTCATGATTTTCCCATGTGTGTGTGTGTGTGTTTTTTTTTCATTTTTTCATTTATTTCCAAGTTCAATTCCTGTACAAATTGAATTGAATTTAATTCAATATTTGTAGACAGAGAGAGAGAGAGGGAGAGCAAGAATTTTGTCATCATTCATTCTTTCAAATGTGATAATGATGGTTAATAGCAGCAGCAACAGCAGCCGTTGATATTTTTTTTTTCGTTTATTTATTCATTTAATCTTTAGCAGTAGTGGTTATGATTTAGTGTTGTCCATGTAACACACATGGTATAGAATCTGGATTTTTTCAAAAATCAATTTTTTTTCTCTTTTTGCGGCAAAATTCCGAAAAATTTCCATTGTTTTTTTTCTGCGACAAACACCTGAATTCCGTTCAAATTTTTCATGATAATTGAAATTTTAAGAGTGTGAAAATTCCAACGAATAACAAACAAAGTAACAAAAAGCTTTTTGGTTTTTGTTTTATCACTTTGTTTTGTGATTATGATCTTGATCTCCGGACATATACAAATTATAAGAAACTTTTCCGATATCATTTTCTCTTTGTTTTTCAAGTTAAAACAAACAAACGACAACGACAACGTCGAGTGTTTGAATAAAAAGTTTCAGATTTTTTTTTCTCCCATTCAACATAACGCAGTTTATATATGTGTGAAAAAAAACCGAGCATTTACTTCCCAATCCCTCTATCTGTATTTTTTGTTTTCATCTCCGTTCATAGTCACTGACATCATCATTCCTTCAGTCGGTCGGTCAGTCGGTCATTATTATTGGAGCCATGTGTATACATTTCATTTTTGAATTGATTGGTGTTGGTTATGGTATCGGTGGCGATGGTGTTGAAAAGACAACGACCGCGCATTTATAGCAAATTTTTTTTGAGCGAAAAAAATTCCGTTTAATTCCATGCTTTGTCTATGACGATATGATTATGATGATGACGACGATGACGAGGTTATGATATTTTCAAATTGGATTTGCACTATATTTTTATCTTATTTTATTATTAAAAATGCCTAAGAAGTGTTTGTTTATCAATTTTTTTTTCTTTTTTGAATAGATTTTCATGAAAAAAAACAACAAACAAAAACAGTCAATCAAACCATTAAATAGTCTGAACAACAACAACAACAACAAAAAAAAATGAAGATAAAACATCCTACTACAACATACGCACAGATATATATATATTATGATTTGTAAGTTTGCCAATGGCACATTGCTGGTGAAAAAAAAATTTTTTTTTTTTTAGTGTCCTAAATGAATGAACATGGAAAAAAAATAATAAAAAAAATACAGAATCCATACACACACACACACACACAGTACAGTATGGCAATCAGAAAATAGAAAATGCAAGGAAGATTAGCCAACATTTCAGGCACACACACACACACACATCCGATATACGATATACGATATCTTATGCATTTGAGAGTATATTGAAAATGCTAAAGTACTGTGTGTGTGTGTGTGTGTGTGTGTTGTTCTACTAGTAGTTTTTTTTAGACTGATAGATTTTTTTTTTCATCATTCTATTCGATATTTGAATCAATTTTTTTTTTTTTTTTTTTTTTGGTCTATGAAAAAAAAACTATAAGGTTCATTCACAACATAATGATGAAAAAAATTACTATGTCGCATACCATTATATATTTTTTTTATATATATAAATAAATATATGGAACAGAAATCCATGTGCAAATAAATAGATTCTGCGTTCATAGATAGTATAGTAATAATAGTAGTGGTAGTAGTAGTTTTGTTCCAGAATAAAATCTTTTTTTTTTTTTTTTGGTTCCCATCAAATTGAACCACTACTACATTATATAATAATAATTTATAATCATTGTGTTCCAGTAATATTTTGTTTCATGCACATTCGCACACATTCGCACACACACGCATATAATAATTCTATTTATTATTCTGTTTTATGGCATAATAGATAGATAGATAGATAGATAGATAGTCAACGAAAATGACCGTCTAGAAAACGACTACGGCTAGAAAATCTATAATAAAAAAAAATAACAAGGCTGTAGAGTAAAAAAAAAGAATACAAAAAAAAGCTTCTGCTTCTTGAGTTTTGTGTTTATCTATTTGGTGTATACACACACACACACACACACACACGAAACATGGAATGAATTTCGTTTGTGTTTATTATAGTCTACATTCATCATTGAGAATCGACCGATGCAAGTGAACAAAAATAAAAAAAAACATTGAAGTGATTTTTTTCTATTTGTCTCTCTGTGTGTGCGTGTGTGTTTGTGTTTGTTTGTGAGTATTTTTGTGTGTATATATGTAAAAAAAATGTGAAAGTTAATTGTAAAAAATTGAATTCTGTTTGTTGTTTATATATTTTTTCATGTGCATCATATCATTGTTTGTGAATGAACATCACAAAAAATCCTGAATAAACTCTCTTGATGACCATTTGGCCAATGACAATGTTGTCATGAAAATTCTGTCCATGAATGTGAACAACACTTTAACGACATGTAAATTTTTTTTTTAGTTTTAAATAATCAACTTTTTAACTTGATTACATTGTCATCATTCATTCACCATATATATTATTGCATATCATCAACATAATCATTCTTCACGATTCTTTTAATAATCATCTCTTGTTATATTTTTATTTTTATTATCATCATCGTCATCGGGAAAGAAAAAATTATTCAAAACCTGTAATTATGTTTGCAATAAATTATTCTGCATGATGATGATGATGATTATGATATCGACGAAAACAATTGCACAGTGTAAAAAGTTTTGACATTAATAACGATAATAATAATAATAATAATGCCCGATAAATCCTGACAAACGACACCAAAACATTTGATAACCGAATCCTGGATAAATGAAAATGAAAAAAGAAAAAGAAGAAAAAAAACCGGGTTCGTCGTCGTCGTCGTCGTCATCGTTGTTGTTGTTGTTGTTGTATATGTATAAATAAATGAGACATTTAGTGAAAAAGAAACAAAAAAAAAATACCGACAAAAAAAGAATCAAGAATTTCCGTTGAAACATTTCATCTATAATTCATAACAACAACAACAACAACAAAAAAAAAAAGAATAATGACGAAAGGAGAAATGAAAAACAAAACAAAAAAATGATTAAATGAACATCCAAGTCGAATATAAATACCGAATTCATGTCCGAAAATAATAACTTATAATAAACGCACAAAATACAAATATCTTTCATAGAACAGAATTTGGTGGACAAATTGGCTCATTCAAATCAATCAATCAATCAATCTATCAAAAAAAAAAAGAAAAAGGAATTTGTCAATTTTCAGCCATCAAATGTTAAAAATGTTGAAACTTCATGGCCGTGCAAGTGAGAAAAAAAAATGTTTCATCCCATTACTGCTTTTTTTTGATAATAATAATCATATATTCTGATATGATTCTTTATCCACGATAATCATGGCAACACACATCATCATCATCATCATCAATTTGTTTCATAATTTTTTCCGTTCGTTCGTTCGTTCGTTCGTTGAATGCCATATCATATCATATACCATATACAGAGAAAAAAATCATTATCAAAAACAATTTAACTATCGTTAACTGTAATCAATCTGTCTATCAAAAAAAAACAAAAGTGTGACAATTATTATCATTACATCACACACACACACCACACAATATCGTGAGAGCTTCAAATTTTTAATCATCATCATCATCTATTTTAATTTTTCAAATTCTGTCCTGGGACATTTTTTGTTTTGTTTTTTGTTTTTGTTTTTGCATAATATCAAAAATGTATAAATTTAAATTATCATCATATCGTTTAAATCGATTATTATGTCGATTCCAATGGTCAATACGATGGTGGAATGTATTGAAGAATGGTAATAATAATATTGTTATTATGGATAAAAATCATCATTATTATCCACATTTATCCATTAACGGTACTGCTAATGATTCTTGCCGTTGTAATCTATTATCATTGAAACAACAACAACAACAACAACAAGAATTTGTTGATGATGATGATGATGTGGATGTGGATGTTGATTTTGCAAATATAACAACAAAATATCATCATTCTCGACATAATCAAAATAATAATCATCGACATCATCATGATGATGATGATGATGATGATAATGAGAAACATCCAATAGAAACATTACTTGAACCAATACGTTATTCAATGGCCTTTTTAACATTATTTTCAATAATAAGCACAATAATCGTTGCCATAATATTGGTCCCATTAGAATCATTACAATTATTGGCACAATTTTTATCATTAATTGTTTCACTAAGTGGCCTATTCGGTACAATGAGACGTTCAATATTATTATCATCATTATATGCATTGGCAATGTTGTTGTTTTTATTTTTGCAGAGTAGTTATTTTTTTGTATTATTAAAATTGGTACAGGAAGTTAAAATGAATAATAACCAGGATGGCCATCATCATCAACAACAACAACAAGGTGCTGATGGTAGTAGTAGCAGTAGTAGTAGTAATCAAAAATTATTTTGGCATCCACAATTTTATGCCACTACATCATCCACTTCTTCTTCTTCTTCTTCTTCATCATCATCATCGTCATCTTCTTCCTCTTCCTCTACAGTCTCATCTTCAACATCATCAACATCGACAAGATCGGCATCCACCACATCAATATCATCATCAAATCAACGTCCAATTTCAACAACAACAACAACAACAATAGTGCCATTATTATCACCAAAATGGTTAACATTTACCAACAACAACAACAACAACAATAATAATAATGTTAATCATGATGGAATGATGATTATTACATCCAATTTAGTAGAAAATACTTTAATACCATCGTTGCCTTTTTTAAATGACCAAAAACAATATCATAATCTATCGACATTGAATACCTATCATAATAATCATCATCATCATCATCATTATCATAATCGCCAGAATCATCATCATTGGTTTAAAAGGAAACGATTGAAACATTCGTCCAATGGTCATCATCATCATCATCATCCACCATTATTGATACCGAATCCATCTGAAACAACAACAACAACGAAGACAACTACGACTACAATGACCACAACAACAACAACAACAACAAAATCACCATCGCCTTATTATCAAAATTATTATCAGGATGAATTATCGTCATCATCATCAGATTTATATTCAATGAATGATCCAGATTCAAATTATCAATTACCATCTAAAACCGTACATAGAAGACGTATGACGAAAATGTTGAATGAAGAATTATCCTATCTATCATTATTAACAGTACCGATGATAGCTTGGTTACCGCCTAGTTTATTTATGGAAACAGTGGCTGTATTAATATTAACAATGCAAGCATTGGCTGGTGGTTGTTTTCTATATGCATTACAACGTAGTGAACCATATCGTAAATGTCGTATTCTAACAAAACAAATGTCATCATCATCATCATCATCATCATCATTATCATCAACATCGTTGTTATCACCGACTGTTATACTGGGCGAAGCAGATAATGTTTATGTTCCAATATTATCATCAACGTCATCATCGAATACGGAAATTGCTATGCCATCATCAACAACAACAACAACAACAACGATAAATAATGACGTATATTGTCCAATAACAACAACAACAACTACAAGTGGCTATAATCATCATCAACATGAACATCAATATCATATCAAATTACCAGTAGATATGGATCCATTCTGTTGAACAATGTGTCAAACAAACAACCAATAATGATGATGACAAGACTTATTTAAAACAAAACAAAAAAATTCTTACTTTACACACACACACACACACACAGAATACAGAATACAGACAAACTTAATTGAAAGAATTTTTTTTTCTTTTGTCATTGATGTGTTAGTAGTTTGTTTCAAACAAAAAAAAAAAAAATTCTTGTTCTACGACAACGATTTTACACCAAAAACACACACACACACAATCAAATGTACAATGAAATTGCGAAAAAAAAATTGATAATAAAAAGTGAAGAAAAAAAACTAAATGAAAATTGCTGAGAAATTTTTCAGGAATTTGCCCTGAAAAAAAAGGAGTAATGATGATGATGATGGTGATGGTGGTGGTGGTCGAAAATAAAATTTTCAAAAACATTTCTTAAGAAAAAAAAACCGAGTATAAAACAAAACCGGAAACGGAAATGAGCAAAACATTTGCCAAATGTTTTAGTTTCAAATTGCAAACACACACACACACACACCAGAATACTGTCTTGCTGATTAGAAGAAATTATGATGCAATTTCAAATGATGACGACCAGAAAGAAAGAAAGAAAGAAAAAAAAGACAAACGACAAAATGAATTCATGAACAGCGAAAAACAAAAAACGAGATAACGATGAGAATAAAATAAAAGTTAGGAAGAAAAAAAAAGAACGGAACTCACAAAAAACGCATGAAATCGAATTCAGTTAAATTCTTGCAGAAGAAAAAAAATGAATTAAATTATTTTCATTTGATTTTTTTTTTTTTTTGATATTCTGGCACCTAGCAATGGTGGAAAAGAAATTTTTTTTTCTTTGTTTTGTTTTACAAATTTGTTCATATATCACATGAACATGGGTGTCCGGGAGGAATGGAGAGAGAGAGAGAACGGAATTGTTTTTTTTATTCTCACACTGTGATACCAGAATTTTCATTTTTGATTTCATTCATATTTCCATTTGTGCACAATGGCTGTTGTCTTTTTTCATTCATTTATTTTGTCAATTAACACTGGTATTTCATTTACAGTCGTTTTTTTTCAAAAAAAAAAAAAAAATTTTGCCTTTCACATAAACTTGACTATAGTATGAACATTGTCAGTGTGTTTTTTTTTTTTTTTTTTTTTGAGTAAAGAGAAAAAAAAATGTGTATGTGTGTGATTATTATATTTACACGCAAAGAAAAAAATTGACCATTCGAAACAAAAAAAAAAACCAACAACAGCAACCACAACAACAGAAATAAAGAATTCATCATCACTATAGTCTGGTGAGTTGAATTTTATTTTTCATTTCCATTTTCATTCTGTAACTTTAATTATCATTATATATCAATTTGATGATTACAATTTACTCGTTTATTGGTGGTTTTTTTTTATTCTTGATTATTTCCATGGCCACACCACACATAGACACACGTAATTACAATTACAATTTTGGACAAATTTTTTTTTGATTATTATTTCTCATTTTCATTAAAAACTCATGTACCAAAATGGAATCATATCATTATTACAAACTGATTGTTTTCAATTGTATTATCAATGATCAAGAATTTTTTGTTTTATATATTTGATCTAGTTTGATTTGATTGTCATTCAAGAGAGAGATAGTGTTTGTCTTCGTCTTTTTTGGTTCTTGTCGATTCTTGTATATTCACGATAATTGACAAATAATAATGATGGTCGTTTTTTTTTCGTTCTGTGATTTTGATGATACCGATTTTCATTTTAGTTTTTTTTTTGGTTGTAATTATTATCGAAAAATTCTTTTCTACTTTTTTTTATTGTTTCTGCTGTAATGTAGTAGTTTGATTTGATGGCCAAAACGTGCTTGTTGACCATTTTATTCTTTCATTCCACAATGATTATTATAGACTCAATTACTCGATTTGTTGTTGTTCGATTGTTCGATTGTTAATTGTCTTCAGATTCATTTGGATGGACAGCATAATATAATGATGATGATGATTATTATTATGGATGATGATTGTAAACGATTGTCGTTTCTGAAATCATGTATTGAACTAATTTGTTTCATTTTGTTGGTGGTTGTTGTTGTCGTTTTTTTTTTGATTATTATGCAATTTGTAAATGTAATGTTTTTGATGTTATCGTGTATTTTTTTTCTTTTTTTTCAAATTAATTCTTAAAATAATCACCAACAGTAAGAGTTTGATCAAATTTGATTGTGGTTTTTTTTCTTCAACTTGAAATTGAAAGATTCATCAATATATTGGACCAATGATAATGATGATGATGATGATTGTTCCCGAAAACATTTTACCTGCATTTTTGTTTTCTTTCCTTACAGAACTTTAACTTTGTATTTCATTATTATCAATTAATGAATGATGATGATGATGATGATGAAAAACGAGAATTTTGGTTTCATGTGAAAAGAAAAAGAAAAAGAAAAGAAAAGTAAAGTAAACGCAAACCAAATTCAACATTAACAACAACATGAACAAAGTTTCTCTTTTTCTCCCAAAAATAAATGAATCAGACTTTTCTTTTCATTTGTTCATTGAATGTGACTATGATTTGCACCATCATTATCATTATAATGAAATGAATGGAATGAATCGAGATGCAGAATCATGAAATACACACACACACGAACATACACAGTTGGAAGAAATCATCCTGTTAATCATTCGCAATATTTTCAAACTTTTTTCTTTTTGTTTTGATTTTATCGTAAAGTTTTTTTTTCTTTTCTTTTGATCAATTTTGTTCATATATTGTTAATATGATTGGTGAATGATGATGTTGATGGGCTAGCATTTGTTGTTGTTGTTGTTGTATACCTGCAAATATATTACATGCTGATGAATTTGATTATCCTGCTGGATAGGACTGGTGCTGTTTTTATTGCTTGTGGTGGTGGTGGTGGTGGTGGCAACTGAAGCGTTTGAATTTTCTCTCGCTCTTTTTTTTCATAACACTTTGGTTTAATTTTTTTTTCGTGTAGAGGGGGATGGTAAGAGAGGGGAGATGTGTTATAATCAAATGAAGATCTGCAATCTGGTTAATAAACAAGTTATAGTTACTAACTAAAATGAACGAACGAACGAATGAACAAACAAACAAAGCCATTAGTTATTCTCACTTTCCATCCATCCATCCATCCATTCGACAAACAATCTTGTTACATCATCTTCAATCAACATGGACATTTCTGCTGCTGCTGCTGCTGCTGCTGCTGTTGCTGTATTTAGAAATCAAAACTTTTTTTTTCATGTGCGAAATAAATTTGTCGCTCAACATCATCAACTAAATGAACAACAGAATCATCAGATATAAATGCATTAACAAAACACGAAAAAAAACCAGAAAAGCCGGTAAAAGTTGTTGTTGTTGTTGTTGTTGTTGTTGTTGAATGGATGAATATGAATGAAAAAAAAAAAAAAAAAAAGTTTTACCCTTTTCATTCATGTGTGTGTGTGTGTGTGTGTGTTCATCGTGGTATGAAAATTTTATTTTTTGCCTGTTTTTTCCATCCATTCATTTGTTCGTTCGTTTTGTTTGTTTGTTCGTTAATTGAAGTTTTTTTTCAGCCATCACTAAATATATGGTCGGTCGGTCGGTCTGTCGGTGGTGATTAAATATTTTAATCAAAGAATCCACAACAAAACAAAAAGAATTTCTAGGATTCTAGAATCACAAATGCGACGACTGATGATGTCTCCAAATGAATTGCAAAAAAAAAACATATTGAACGGAAACAAAACCCCAAAAAAAATCTTGTCAACTTGTTGTTGTTGTTGTGTGCGATCCCGTGGAACTAAAACGATTAAAATTTGGTTTTTCTGTTTTGAGTTTTTGTTTTGTTTTTTGTTTTTCAAAATAAAGAAAAAATTTTCAAATACTAATCGGTTTGCCTCTTGTAATTTTTTTTTTTTTTCGTATCTTGGGGCGGCAATTTCTCTATTTTTTTTTATATACCAATCATTTGATGGAAAAATTCTATCCAGTTAGTGAATGGAATTGTTGTTGTTGTTGTTGAACAAAAAAACAAACAAAATTCTGAAAATTTATTGATGATTTATTATAATGCTCATGTCTTTTTTTCATTCTTTTTTTATTTTTTTTTCTCAATATTCCGATTGGATAATGTTTGTTTGTTATTCTGTTTTATTTTTTTTTTTTTTTTTGTAGTCGATTCCATTTGATTTTGTTTTCACTGTTCATCCAAATCATTTTTCTTCGTTTTTTTTATTTATTTATTTTTGGATGTTTGTTTGTTTGTTTGTTTTCTATAGCTGCCGTTCCTTACTACTGATCATCATCATCATCATGATAGATTTACGGGTTCGTGATTTTTTTTTTTTGTTTTGTTTTGTTTTGTTTTCTTTCTCATCATCGTTAAAGTTTCTTTTCTATGCTTTTTTTAGGTCTAATTTTCGGTGTGTAGGTTTTTGTTGTTGTTGTTGTTGTTTTTGTCTGAACAGCTGAACGCCTTAACTTGAAACAATAACGATAACAACATTGCAGTCTTTTATTTTGTGTGTGTTTGTTCAAGAAAAATCAAAAGATGATCATATCAGAAATTCTGTATGTGTGTGTGTGTGTGTGTGTGTGTGAAATAAAAACAAAGAAAACCAAGAAGAAAAAATAAAGAAAAATTGTTTGTTCGTCACTTTTTTTTTATTTCAGTTTAACTAGAAAGACGATGACATGTAGAGAAATTCAAACAACAACAACAACAACAACGTATGAATAGTGAAAACAAAATAAGAGAAAAGGAATTAGAGTAGAAACAGTAAGATAAGACGATTATTATTATTATATGTTCATGAAGAAAAAACAAGAATGAAAAAAAAAAAAATACAAACACGCGAGCCAACGATACAGAATTTTTTTTTCTCAATAGCCCTTTTTTCTTTTTTCTTTTTTTTTTTGCTAAGAATTATAATTCAGAATTTGTTTTTTCTGTTTTCTTGCAAAAAAAAAAATTCTGCTTCATTTTTCTTGATTCTGTTTCATACACACAGAATGTGTGTTTAGAATTTAGTTTTGGTTATTATTATATGATGATGCACCTAAACAAAAAAAAAAAACATACAAACACAGAGTGTCTCAAACTTTTCGATTATTTTGTTTGTTTGTTTTTTTTTCATCGTTTACTTTAACTACTTACTTTACTTGTTTGATTTTGTTTTTCAAAAAAAAAAATAAATAAATAAATATAAACTTTGATTATCTAAATCTTGAATGTGATTTGATTATAGTGAATGAATTTTTTTTTTTCTGAGATTCATGATTCAATCCATCGATAGGAAGGAGAAGAATTTTTTGTTGTTGTTGTTGTTGTTGTTGATGTTGCAGAATCGATACCGTTATCGAAAATGAAATGATTTGGTTAGTGAGAAAATGGGATTTAATTTGATTATTTTTTTCTGTATGAGAGAGAGAGAGAGAGAGAGAGAGAGAGAGAAAGAGAGAGAATGAAAAGATTGATTGATTGATCGATGGTTGAATAGTTTTGAAAGAGAGAATGAAAAGATTGATTGATTGATCGATGGTTGAATAGTTTTTGGTTGGAAGAAATGGAAAAAAAACATGCAAGTAAGCAATCCAAAAGAAAAGATAATTGAAAATAGTCAAACTCAATTAAATCAAACTGAAAGAACTAAGATACTTGCCTTGTTGTTGTTGTTGTTGTTGTTTCAAATGTCAGCCAATCACCTATACACACACATGACAAGTTTGTGATTGTTTTTTTTTTGTTGTTGTTAATTAGTGAATATAAAA